ATATAAATGTAACTTGTTCTTCCCTATTCTTTACATTGGTATAAACTACAGTAACTATAAATCCATATATTTAATATTTTGATAATAAATAGCTGTCTCTTATACACATCTAGATGTGTAAAGGTACGTTGGGCCAACGTGATTGGACGACGTTGCACAAACATTATCGGGCCAACGTAGATCCAACTAGTCGGGCCGACGTCTTTCCAACAAGCTGAATCCACGTTGGGCCGATGGAAAAACGGCCCTCGGGCCAACCTTTGTGTAAGTACGTTGTGCCAACGTAATTATTTGACCTTCAACCAACGTCAGCCCGACGTTGATCCAACTAGTCGGGCCGACGTCTTTCCAACAAGCTGAATTCACGTTGGGCCGATGGAAAAACGGCCATCGGTCCAACCTTTGTGTAAGTACGTTGTGCCAACGTAATTATTTGACCTTCAACCAACGTCCATTTTGTGTTTTCTTTGGTGAGTGCGTTTATGCCTACGATGTAAGTCATCAAATTTACCTGACTAAGCTTTTACTGAAATTAGGGGTAAGTTTTCATTATGTATATTCCCAACCCTTATTACTGTCTCTTATACACATCTAGACGGCCCGACGTTGATCCAACTAGTCGGGCCGACGTCTTTCCAACAAGCTGAATCGACGTTGGCCCGATGGAAAAATGAACGTCTAGGCAACATCAGAAAGGTACGTTGGGCCAACGTGATTGGTCGACGTTGCACAAACATTATCGGGCCAACGTAGATCCAACTAGTCGGGCCGACGTCTTTCCAACCAGCTGAATCCACGTTGGGCCGATGGAAAAACGGCCGTCGCGCCAACCTTTGTGTAAGTACGTTGTGCCAACGTAATTTTTCGACCTTCAACCAACGTCGGGTCAACGTCGCTTGCTAGCTGGGACATCCTAATTTAGAAAGCTCATTGGAAAACATCTAATTATATTTTATGGGCAGTGGTGATACCTTTCGCAAGCTGGTTTTTGGGGAGACTGTTAATAATACTGTAGCAAAACAAAAAAATATGAATTTCCAAAAGATGGGTTAGTTTCTTCTTCAGATTTTTTTTCTTCCTTGTGAAAGTGTGGAAGGCTGTCCTGATTTCTGGGAAACAATTGATATTCCTTTTTTTTATTTGTAGAAATGTTTGATCAAGGCGTTGAGGCTACAGATAGTCCAGATGGTTCGTCTGTTGACCCTTGCTTGCAATCCTTGAATAAGGTCGGCGATGCAGATAATGGAAATGAGCTTGTTGAAAAAATGCTGAAGGTAGAAATTGAAGTTGTTGATGAACCGGATGCGTGGGTTAAACAACAATCGAAGTTACCAAGTCACAGCGACATGTTGGTGGCGTATGCAACTGTACCAGGTGAGTGCAAATAGACCTTTCCAATGTGTCAATCAAACTGACAAATCAACAGTAAACACACCTATTACAGGATAAACATATATTTTAATGTAACAAAAACAAAATATAGCTTAGAAGCAAAATGTAAATTGAAATATAGAGGATGCTATAGGCTTTTGTTAGTGTTTTCATATGGCCATTATTATCTGTGGTGTTATTAAATTTAAAACATAGAAGGATATGTACAGGTGTCTGATTAGCTTCAACATTTGCATTTAGCAAAATGACAACAAAAAGACACCTAAATAGATCCCTGTCATTTAATTGGTGGATTGCGTATCATGTGACATTGGTTATTTACTCCATTTCATCACTCATGGAAATTTTCTTTCCATCCATTTTCGCCCATTGCACGGTAACTAGGATACGATATGACTTCAACTTAATACAATCTTTTGATTCGAGATGCTGGACTGTTCTATTTAGAAAAAGGGGAGATCTTTTCAAAAATTTCAAAATGACAAGAATCTCCATTCAGAAAAAATTTGTTGTCATAAAATATCAAATGACAAGAATCTATTTTAGGTGTGTTATAAGACAAATATTGAATGTTTTTATTCGCGCAATGGAAAGAATGTTTTCATGAGTTGGAAGATTGATTGATTGTTCCATTCCACTTGGAAGCCTTGTGGAATGGAAAAGTATATCTTTCAACTTATGAAATTCTTCCCATTGCGCTCATAAACATTCATTATTTGTATAATAATAAATGTGTTACCACTGTGATTATGCCAATTGCTTGTTTTATTAATACTTACTCTGTAAAATACACTGTTTCTACATTATGATTATGAGGGTTTTAACAAGAAAAATAAAAAGTGCAAGTTTTGTAGATTGTGAGAATGTTTAACAATTACACCTCATTATCAGCCCAAGTAACTTATTAACCTTGCTAACAATATGGTGAATAAGTTGTCAGATAGAATCGCTTCTTTGTTGATAATAATAGAAATCTGAAGGCCACAACTGTACTTTAGGCGATATTTTCTTTTATACCTTGTTTCGAAAACTTTTTTTTTAAGATCGTCAGAGGAGGGCGGAAAAAAATTAAATATAAAGTCTCTATTTCTAACTTACAGTAGCAAATGGTTTTGCCAAAAACAGATGGAGGAGAAAATGAAAATAAAATGTTATTGGTGAATGTAAACAGTGTAGTAATGGGATGGTTAAATGCTTAAAATTTATATAATTAGGAAGAAATATACGTATCTTATTTTTGGAGATTTCAAGGCAGTGACATGCGTAATAAAAATATAGAAAAAGAAAAGCTTCTATTTTTTTCTGAAATTTTCGGGTTTTTTTTCGTGGCAGTGGGTGCGCTAATTGCCCCAAAATAAAATGTTATTTATACGTTATGATTATTATTATTAATAAAAGGTGGCAGCTTTGTAGATGGTGAGAATTTTTTACAATTACACCTTATTATCAGCCCAAGTAACATATTAATATTAAAGTACAGACAGTAAGTACAGACAGTATTCTAATATTTTTGATATGTTCTCTTTCTTTTGCTTGTATTGTTTTACTGTATCTTTTGTATTTTAGATTTATTAATGCTATGAAAAAATGCACTCAAAATAATTTCTGCCAAGGACTAAATAAAGTTGGAATTGAATTGAAACAAATCTTTGTCAATAATTAAAAATATGGTCACAATTGTACTTTACAGTTTTTAACTTGTCATGAAATTGACAAATACTGTAGTAATAACAATAATAACAACAGTACTGTAGAACCCCTATTAAGCAGACACCATCAGGACCAATAAACTGTCCCCTTAATAGGTGTGTCCCCTGAATAGTATTTTTATCTTATTATCTTGTTTGTCTTTGTATTCTGTATGTTTTATCAAAGAAATAAATTATTTGATATTATATGATATACAGTATATGTATGATATACACATGATACCACTTTTCTCTGTCGACGCAATGCAGCTCCTGTTGCAGTGCACGGTAGTGGAGCCCCGGGCTTATCCTGGGGTGGAAGGTGCTGAAGCTCAACATACTGCCTTTGGGTATCTGCGTATACTTATATGAGGAGCAACATTGCCTCGATGGGATAATTGGTATTTGGATTTTGCTGGAAATTTTTCTGGGAATTATTTGGATCTTGTTGGTTTAATTGTCTATGCACCTTGAGCACCTTTGGTGGAGATGTGCACTTTATAAATCTTTATTATTATTATGATATGATAAGGAGGATCAAATTTTCTATACAATGTAGGACAACAAACAATGATAATGAAAATAACATTTAATGTAAAAAAAACCACTTTCACTACAAACATTCTAAACTGTAATTACATACGGTTGTTAATGCTTTTCTTTTTTTTATTTCAATTACTACAGTATACAACACTGACAGAATATCTTTAATTTTCTTTAAATTGTTAATTTAATTTTTAATATTTTTTTAGGTTATGTGTCATGGCGCAACTCGGAACGAGGTTCATGGTTCGTGCAAGCTCTCACAGAAACCATTAAAGAATGTGCTCGTGATGAAGATTTATTATCAATGATGACAATGGTTAGATGATTAAAACATTCTCTTTTTATTACAATTTTGTCGGTTGTAGTCTGAATGGATCGTCATTAAAAACGATCAGTTGCGCGCATTGTTGCGTCGCGTTCTCCATAGAATTGCACCGCCCGTCGGCTGCAGTGAGTGCCCAGCTTTAGTGATCAATTTTAAATATCTGCATGAAATTTTTCTTTTTTCTTACCTTACATTTTTTATGACCAATGTATTAAAACACATAATCATCTAAGTAGTAAAATATAATTTCCCAAATTAAATACTTAATTATCAAAGTAGTAAAATTTCATTACATAAAATTCACTTTTGACACAAAAGGATCAAATTAATCCAGTTTCAAAATTGTTTATATTGTGGGTTGAGCCCACTGATCTGTACTATATAATAGCTGGATTACTCATTGGCCAATCATTGTACCGGAAAAAGTGAAGCTACCAACACCATATGCAAGAGCCCAAGTAATGTACCAGTTTAATAATAATAATATTTATTCGGCAGAGTAAAAAGTATACATACAATATTCTTGCCAGGAGTAAGTAATAGGCATAAGCCCAAACAGTAAGCTGCTCTTACTCCACATATGGAACACATTGAAACAAAAAGAATATAAAACATTACTAAACAATATTACACATTAAACTTAATTAAACTAGACTAAAATTGCACTTAAAACCACAATTATAAATTATTATAATGTCAATAGCAAATTTTTTTATTGTTTGAGCATGAGTTGAGGTGTTATTTTTAATTGTCGCTGTTAAAATGTTTAATTCATTATTATCAGATAAGGCACATATGTATGTATTTTGTGTGAACTTAAATGCATAAACTTAGTTAAAAGTTACAAAATTTAAAGTTCACCATGAACCTAGTTGTGTAATCTTCATATAATATTTATTTTACAAAAACAGATTATCTGTCTGTGACATGTTTGATCAGACTTGTTAATAATGAATCTTGATGTTTATTCAGGATTCTCTCCCTGTTTTTAGTGTTTACATTAAACGTTGATTAATATATTACAGAATATTTTAGTTTTTGTATGCAGAATCGTAGAGCATTAAAATAGTTTGTCCACCTTACGAGATTATTATTTGAAATGCTATGTGGGGACATTGACTTTAACACGTTGGCTGCCAGCGACGAGTATACTCGCCCACAGGGTGTTGCTGAGGGCGCCAGGAACGAGTATACTCGTCAAATCGTGGGAAACGTTCTAGCGTTTATAACTTCTTTATTATACAATGTAGAACCACAGACTCAACGGCTGGTAGTTCGGGGAAGATACACCTAGACGATAACGTACAAATGACATATATATGTCTGTTGTGTTATTTTGCCGGTAGTACACTCGAGCGGTACAAGTGGGGGCGCCCTTTTAACATATACCAACACATGCAAAAAGCAGACGAGATAACTCGCACTTGGCATACTCGCCCCCTAATATTTTTCCGCCAATTTATTAGACACTTCATTTTGATGACATATGACTAGATAAAATTTCAAAAAAGCATGTTTGTACATGTAAACTTGTTTTGGCACACGGGAAGGAACCTTAAAAAAAGGTCTGGCAGTCAACGTGTTAACTCGAAATGATGTGCGAGTTTATTTGTCAGATTTAATATGTAGTCTAGGCAAAGAAATCAGTTTGCCTGTAATATGTGTGTTGTTTACGGTTCTATGAATTGGACGGTCTTCCCCATGGAATATCACATTGAAAGATAGGACATTGACTTAAACTCAAAATGATGTGTTTCTTAAGATGTAGGATTTACCAATGTGCTACTGTAACCTCAGCAAACAAAACATTTTATATAATATTATTCTACATGAAATGCTTAATAGTATATAATGAATATCTAGGCCTATATAAAAAAAATCATTCTGATTCTAATAAAGAATTAAATAATAGTAATAAAATATTTATTAAATAATAATCAGGATAATAAGACTGCACATATCCACTGCAGTAGTGCTTAACTCAGTAAAGTAATAATAATAGTAATTATAAAATATTGATAATAATGCCAATAGTGATAGTGACTTTGCAAGATACCATATTATTGATTATGATTAAATAAATTTTTATTAAATAAAGAATATTTTAAAATTTTATTTAATAAAGAATATACAGTCTAAACAACATTAATAATTCCTGTTTACATTAGGGCTTAACACATTACAACATGAACATAAGGAAATAAATTGCTATAGTTGTATAAATGTGTATACCATCTCAACACAACAGCCAAGTACGTCACTATACCTTTTTCCAGGAACTTCCTTGTTTTTCCCTAAATGGAATTGCGTTTATATCGTATATCGTATCATTTATTTCGTCTATAAAACACAAAATACAAAGACAAACAAGATAATCAAGATAGAAATAAAACATTTCTGAAAAATAGAAGCTTAAAAAGTCATAAAAAACTCGACTGGATTGCTCAAAAGTGAAAATTAGTTCACTGTCAGGGAGCTCTCTGTGTTAAATCTGACTTATAATATATAATTCATACATAAATGAATTTTTTTTTTTTGTAAATAATCTGAGTGCATCATAATATCAATCAGAAAAGCGAGGTTAAATTGTATAAAAATACAGTAGAAAGTTTGTGAGCAGTATAGACAATAGTAGGTTTAATTCCCTACTTTGTTAATCGCCTGAAGTCGCTAATTTTGTGATGATTGTTGTTTGCGGTTTTTTATAATATAGTAATTCTGGATTATTTGCCAAAATGAATAATATATTTTCTCTTTTTTTTTTCTAGGTAAACAACAAAGTGGCTCGAGCCTTTGAATCTTCATCCGGCCGTAACAAGCAGATGCCAGCTCCTGTTACCATGCTCACCAAGAAGCTCTTCTTCTTTCCGGGCTATTAAGTGTCATAATGTGTCACAATCTTTCCCCCCTCCCCCCATTTTTCTTGTGGAGTTTGGTTTGGTTATAAAAACAATTCTGCATGGATTTAATATTACAAAATATTATAGTGTAATAATATTATTATTATTGTTCTAGTCTAGTAGTTTCTTCATGTATTCATTTATTTGTCGTATTTTGAGTTTCTATATTTTTATATTTCGTAAAGCATTTTTAATGAAGGTGCCAAATTCAGTTATTTTTATCAAAATTGCCTGTTATTCACAAGGACTTTGTTTTTCAAATGTATACAATTTTTAATTTTTTTTTGTTTATTGAGAATCAGTTTAGATGGAAGGTGACTTGTTATATGGTAGTATCTTCATATTTGTAGACCCTTTTCCATCATTGATTTCAGTGGACATAAGGGACCCTCTTTAATTATGTTTAAATTTAACAAAAAACATTGATTGCTTAAAAAATTTTTCTAAAAAACCTTATCCTAGACAATCAGTATTTATAAAAAATTTGACGAAAATAATTAAAAAGAACATTGAAACATAGACAAAGAAAGAGCTAATGAGCAGCATGTAAGGGATCATCTGTATTCCCAGTGTACTCTATAAACTGCGTGGTGGCAATGGTCACAAAATCAAGTGTCTTTAAATTTACTTTAACCATTGTCCTCATGAATTTGGACAATTCGTTGCAGTATTATTTAAGAAAGTAATTAATTGTACTTCATTGCTCTCAAATGGTTTGATACTTATTATTGTATTAGTGTACTTCATTTTAGTAGAACTTAAACCTTTGGTTAGTGGCCATGAATGTAATCTATTAACTAAACATTTGGGGGGGGGGGGGAAGTGAGGGGCAAGGTAAAATTTTAGCGGAAGGGGGAGTATTTTTCCCATAGCAGACCGGATGCAATTATAATCACAACACACAATAACTGGTAACGCTTCTATCCATGTGATTGTTATTTTTATTTAAATGCTCAGTATATTTTGTTACAAGTGTAAAAAGTTTGTTAAATGGTATGGAACGACGTTCAAGCAACAATTCGATGATAGCCAGTGAACCGTCGATGATGAAACAAGTGAATCTTCGATGATGAAACAGTGAATCGTCGATGATGAACAAGTGAATATCTCAAAATGCTTTCATGAGATTTTTCGATCGCCATGCAAAGTTAAAATAAAATCCCAAATCCTCCTCCTTTTTGGAATTTAAGGAAACTAATGCATTTTTGTTTCTTTGTTGGATCGATTGCAGCAACCCCAAACCCAACATAACGATATTTCACATTATATAGCATTAATCATCTATAATAACTGCTAACTTCCTGCCCTATCGCGTTGTTTTGTTTTGGTGACAACATGGCCGGTGCAAGTCACGTGATTGAAACCGAGTTGGCCAAACTCTCTCTATCTACGGCTCTGGTTCTCCATCGTGTCGGGATCCAATATTTTGACATTCTTTAATATCTGAGATTAATCCGTGGACCTTTCGGTCTATGTAGTTCTCTGTCTCTAATTTATTAGTATGTAAAAATCTGTTTATGTTTATGAAAATGAATGGGAAATAAATGAATTGAACCGTGTAAAAGATAAAACTGGTTTTCAGCAGATTCTCCAAGTAAGTAAAAGTAAATACATCAAAGACAATGTTATATTTGTTACATATAATTTTTTTTAGAGATCGCTTGCGGTTTGTAAAAGCAAGTACGTAAAAGCAATTGAATTTTAATACTTTTCATTGTTCCCAAAACAATGAACCGATTTTATTATTAAAAAATTGGTACAAATTTGTATGTTCAATTCAACTTTTATTACAGTTGCACACATCTCAAATGATGGTGAATCAAAAAGAGAAAAAAATCAACAGTAAATTGAAAGAAAATAATTGATTGTCACACTATCAAATGCTGAAAATGAAATGGATAAATATGTTCCTCGTGGCTGGTGGATTTAGTCTTTACCAAATAATCTATGCAAAGAAAAAATAGCATTATATCCCTTATGCTCTTCTTGTACTCTTGAACCAGCCATTGGGTATTAATTTGTATTCTTTCTTTCGACCATATGGTTTGATACATGTTTACGTACATATTATTTAATACGTATGTACGTAATATACGTACATTTAATTTTAAGCCCATAACATTTCAAATTATCATCAAGTGATTTGTATTGCTGTAGTGATAAATTTGGCCACCTGGACTCATTCGTATTTAGGACACGGTGATAATATTACTATAGACCCTCAGCCAGCCATTGCTTTCCATATTGTATTATATAATCACAGGTGGTGCCAGAAATTTTTCGACATGGGGTCCGACGTGTCCGAGGCGACGACCTGGAATAAATTAGCGTTACTTAGATAGGCAAGTCTTTTTTTTTATTTTTGGTCCGACGACCCCTTCCCCCACCCTCGCTGGCGCCACTATGGTATATAGACTTAATGTATTCGTATTTCTTGCACTTTATTTATTCATTGAAGAATAAGCACCTTATTTCATCCAGTTTTTAGTTCTTTTATATGCTATCACTTCTATTACAGTTCCACATATCCCAAATAATGGTGAATTCAAAAGAGAATAAAATCAACAACAAATTGAGAAAAAATAGATTGACACAAATGCTGAAAATTAAATGGATAAATATGTTCCTTGTGGCTGGTGGATTTAGTCTTTACCAAATAAACTATGCAAAGAAAAAAAAAAATAGAATTATATTCCCTTATGCTCTTCTTGTTCAGTAGTAGCAGTGGTGTGTATCTAGGGGGTGCCTGGGCAATTTTGTATTAGGGGTCACAAGTTGGAAACTCATTCGCTTTTCTTAGCACATCTAAATTTGTTTTGCTACACATAAGGATACCCATGGTTGGCACTGACTTCCGTGAGACAAATGATAATGGGGTAATGCAGTTGTAAAAACATGCAGATTTATTGAATTTTCGGGAGATGGATTATTTTCCAAGAGATTCTGGAATGGTTGCGGGAGACTATCACAATTTCCAAGAGACTCCCGCGACCTCTGCAGTTTTGTATTTATACATTACTTTCACTTGTAAGTGTATGTAGATAAGAAAAGAAATGTTTAATATAAATATATTTAAAAAATAATCATCACACAAATACACATTAATTTTTCATTTTAAAGATATATATTTCAACTGCATATCAATTTCAGTTCTACACCTCAGAATACAATACTGTACTGTTATGTTTACTGTTATGTTTAAAAATACTTTACCAGGTAATAGACATGACTGTAATACTGTATTACACATAATATAAAATAGTAAATTAAAATTGCAATTAATGATATTTAAATTATTAACAATAATAGTAATAATAATAATAATATTTTTTTTTAGTCACCGTTTGTGATTGAAACGTCCAGTTAAGTATTTACTGTAAGTGGAAATATTTCTCAATGCCATTTCGGATTCAACTTAGGCAAGTTCAACTGTACACTGATGAAGAATTAAACTTTCCTCAGAATCTCAATGGTACATAATTGTACTCTTTACATTGAAATACAACTACTCTTAAAGAGAGACTTTTTTTATACCTTGTTTCGCAAAACTTCAAGATCGTCAGAGGAGGGCGGAAGAAAATAAAAAAGAAAATTTTGTTTTCTTATTTAGCAAATGGTTCTGCCTAAAACATCAGACGGAGGATAAAATAAAAATAAAATTTTATTGTTGAATGTAAACAGTGTAGTAATGGGATGGTTAAATGCTTTAAATTTATATAATTAGGGAGAAATATACAGATCTAATTTTTGGAGATTCCAAGACAGCAGTGGGCGTAATAAAATTAAGGAAAAATTTTTATTTTTTTCCCTGAAATTTCTGGTGCACTAATTGGCAAAAAACAATTGTTTACCTTTATTCAAAATCATCATTATTGGCGGGTGGCAGATTCGCTAAACAAAGTATAAAAAAAGTCTAGCCTAAGCATAGACAAATTTAACAGCAACATATACTGTATAACACAACCAAACCAATGTACTGGAATACTGTGCTAATGTCCTGATCTCAATTATTATTAATTGAAATTTTAAAAGAATTGAGTAAACCTTCAATTAGTGATGCATGATGTGGTTATTTATTAAGCATTAATAATAATTTTGATAAAAATTCCGGTACACCTCTTCTGAAAAAACTGCTGTTTCGTTGAGACTGTATGAACGTGTCAATTGAATTGCTTTGATTTTATTTGAGAAACTGTCTACAAAAAAACACAGTTCTTTTCAGAACTACCTATGTGGTGTATTGCAAGCATTCATCCTTGTTACTTCTCCATGCAAACCTTCAAACAATATTAAATTTCCTGTCTACCATGCATGTATGAAGCTAGTTAGTTGGAGCAATGATTACTCCATAGTTATAATTATTGCAAATCTGGGATCGGAATATTCTGGAGCACAAATTTCTTATTAATGGACAGTAAACTGTCACAAACATCAAGGTAACCTAGCATTTAATCTTCTTTTTTATTCTGATGCTTTAGAGAAATACTCTTTAGCTCCTTGTGGATCTGGTTTGATCTGGAAAAAAAAACAAACAAAAAAAGATAACATCAATAATTATATTTTAAATATTGTGCGACTCGGGTAGAACTAACCGCTCTAGAATTAAAGATAATGTACCATAACCCTCAAAGCAGTTTCATATTTTGATTGATTTAATACCAAAATGTGCATATATGTTCTTTTAAACAGACATATTTGAGGTCTTAATATAGAAGAACGCATGCAGATAATACAGCGACATCTCCAAATTATGAACCTCCCTGGTTGACTTTTGTTGTGGCAATGCTTAGTTTTGTACAGCATAGGCCTAAAGCAGGGGTGGGCATAAAAATTGGTCGAAGGCCAATTTCTATTGTGCTTGCAAAACCTCCATGCAATGCTGTTATACCAATTTATCCTCAGTTTTAATTTTACTTTTTAAAGATGATCGGTGTCAGGCTGTTAAAAACAAGTGTTTTCTCACCAGAGATGGATGGCGAGCTTCACCCATACGGTATATAATATATTTTCACATGCGGCCGCAACAAAATAACCGACGGGCAGCATGTGGTCTGACAGAATAACAAACACAAAGAAATATTGTGATAGGATGCATGATTGTGTGAGGTTAAGATTTCTCTACTTACAGTATCTGAATCTGGTGTCCATCCTGCTGGACACACCTCTCCATGCTTCTGAACAAATTGGAATGCTTTGACCAACCGCAGGACTTCATCAACTGACCGGCCAACAGGGAGGTCATTTACACTTAAATGCTTTATTACTCCTTCTGGGTCAATCAAAAACAGGCCTCTGTGGAAAAAGATGAATATTTACTTAGAACTCATAGTCACAAGTGTTACATAAATAATAAATCACAACAATTTACTGAAATTAAGTTGTATTTCAATGTAATATTGAACTTGGTGTTTTTGAGAACAAATCTCATGATTCAAACAAGAAACACTGAGTACTGTATGGTCACTATCTGTAAGGGGCTCCTGGACATCAGCTACCATTCTTGTTTTAGCTGGAAGGATTATTCTACTAAAATTTAAACAAAATATATGTTCATTTTCAAACAATAATACATCAAATGAAGTAAAATGTTTTGATCAAAAACTATAATGGTCTGCAATTTTTTAATATCAAGATCTATTTTTTATAATTGATCCAACTTCCTCCTAGATAAAAGAATGATAAAATTAAACAAATCAATCAATTTTTCCTCCTTGTCAAGGGCTACATACACCTACAAAAAAAAAACAGTAGACCATAAATGGATACAATAATTAATACCAAATAAAATATACTAAAAAGAAAATTAAATTTAGAACATGATAATATAATTATATGAACAGCAGAAACTAACTACCTAGCTGTCTTCAAGTGCCACAACTAAACAAACATCCTATAGTGAAGCGGTGTAAATATATGGATGATATTTATATGTCACAAAGGTCAATTTTTTAAAGCACATATGATTATACCTGAGAGCTAGGCCTGCATCCTCCAACAGCACTCCATAATCTCTGGATATATTCTTCTTGAAGTCAGACAAGAGAGGAATATTCATCTGGCCTAGGCCTCCTTCCTGCAATGATAAATACGGAGTTTGTTATACTGAAGTTGAATATAGTCAAGAATGATTTTCCACTGAAAGCTGTTTGGCATTTCATTTCATTTATTTCCTAATAAAAAAAAACATGGGTTTCTAATTAGCTTTTAATTCCAGAAAACAACTTGACAAATCGATGTATTACAATATCTAAAAACCAAAAGGATCCACTGATTATAAGCAAATAGAATATGTGTATGGTAATTCTGAAAAATGATAGATGCGAAGCCATAATTCAAGATCCAAAAAAACCCAACTTGTTATTTTGTAACTAAAATGGGTGAATTTGATATTATTAAGATACTAGAGCACTAACTCAGTGGACCTCTCAGTGTCGATCAAACTTAAACTATATCAGTACCTTCCTTGGTGTATTAATCCAAGCTAAATGACTGAAGTGTGAGTCAACAGATACTCCAATCACCTCTGTGTCCAGCTGACGGAATTCTTCTGCTCGATCGCTGAATGCAATGATCTCAGTTGGACACACAAATGTACTGAAACAATTTAAATTTTAGAGTTTGTATCGAATTTGTTTTCGAATTCAATCCCTGCAAACGCTAAGAGTTTTTTCCCTGCTTTTATACCTTCTTTGTGAATCCACCACCCTACCCACAAACCCATAATGATATATTTTAAATCATAACTAGAGTAGTCATTCCATAGAGTGTATAACTCCACTCTGTGCCTGTATACCACACAATACACAGGCTGTTTATGAGCGATTCTATTATTTCTTTTGTGCTTGAGGGTAAGTTCAATGAACAAAAAAAAAATCAACTTTCCTTGACCTTGACTTTGTCCTTTTCTTTCCGAAAGTTAATTATCTCTTTCTTATACCCGATTCACACGTACAAAAATCTTACCAAATGTAACAAAATGTA